GCATAGTGCGTGATCTCTTATGTCAAATTGATAGACGAAACCATGAGGACAGTCACGTAGAGCATTCTTCGTATTAAAATGCCTCTCTCAATATTTCATTCGTATACGTTTCTTCATTAATTAAGTGTGCAAAATGATATGCAATCTTGCGCATTCAGTTTAATGTCTACTCGTCAACTCTGAATATAAATTATGCAAAAATATATGAGAAAAAATTATCAAAAAATACGTACATTTTCTAAATATTCATATAGTTCATTATTTAAATATTTTCCATAGAATATATATATAATTTAAATTGTTTATGTTAATATACATACATAAATACATTACAATTAAATGAAATTATTTCAAATCTTAATAATAATAAGGATAATAATTCATTTTTTATATTACTGTTTTAGTATATTTATTTCATTATAGATTGAGTTATATGAATATGTTATATGAAAGTATTATATTATATGAATAAGTTATATGAAACGTAATATATAGATTCATATAATTCAATCAATATTAACATATATAATTAAAAAAATATGTAAAATATAAGAACCTTATCTTCTTGCAACTGAAGTGATGTCTAAATATTAAGTATTCATCGCGCGCGTGCATATCAAATCTCAATAAATTCTATATTCTCTTCTCATCGATTTAATTCGTCTATAATGGTATACATCGTCTTGTTAATCTAGGTCGTTTATTGATGACTCTTTCGGCATCGACGCCTCGACTGCCTTGTAGCACGTTGTTTTATCAATAACGGCTCATGATTTTACCGATTCTATCTGTGTAAACAACAATTAGTATCGATACTGTCGCTTCTCAATGATAATTAAGCAGTGGGAGTTGCATTTTCTCGGATCATGACTCTGCAAAGAAGCTAACGTTATTTGTTATTTTGATGTCAAAAATAGCGACAAATAACAGTTTGTTTGTTAGGGATCGCATGAACGCTTTTACATTAATATGTTCATAAATAAATGACAATTACAAAATTAGAAAAACGCTACTTTTTATTTTCACTTTAAAAAAGTATTAAAAATTGCCGAGAAAAATAGAAATTCTTAAGCTATATCAATATTATAATATTTGTTGAAAATTCAAATATTAAGGCAATAAAAGGCCACATACATGTATCAATGAATCCCAAGTAAAAGAATTATTTGAGACTAATGATTTGTGAGATACAGTTTCAAGACTTCTTACGCAATTCTTTTGTTTTTGATCTATCAAAGTATTTCTTTTAATCCACTATTTTAGTATTCTTGCAAGTTCAATCTAAATAAATATGGAGTTTTTAATATAAAAGAGAATATAAAAATAGTCCGAATATCGAAAACGGATGATATAAAAAATTCGATTAAATAAGGCTAATCAGTTGAAATTCAGTAAAATTTTAAAAAAGGTAAGAACTCCGTTATAACTGATTCATTGATTACGTTATGTGATGCAATCGGAGACTTCAAATATACAAGCCTCACATGGTTTCTCCTTCGCTTTTTCGAATGACTGATGCAAATCGGATAATATATTATACATGATATATAAAACTTCTTTTCAAAACTGTTTTATATGAACAAATTTTCATTAATATATAGCAACTTTGTCTTATTGATTATTTAATAATCAATTGGATAGAAACAAATATCATTGCCTTGAAGGATCGTACAATTATTATAATTAATTTATTATATTACGCAACGTCAAGCGCGCGTGTTATACAATTAACTCCATCATAACAATTAATTAAAAATCTCGGAATTTTTTCGTTTAACTATAACTAACCGCATCCGGGCCAATGGACTAGATTCCTCGAAAATATTTGTCAGTCGGAATCCTATCTTGTCCCGAGGATCTAATCTTCGTTCTGAGAAAATCCTTTCGGAAGTACGACCGATTTGTCATAGGCGTGTATACTTCCAACTTCAGTAATACGAAGATATGAATATACGTAAGCATTCAAGAGCTAGTGAAAGGAGACGTCATCATTGACTTTAAGTGGGAGGTAAAAGAGGATATGAACGCAGTTTTGAGTGGGGAGTGTATGCGCCATGATGAGAAAATTCAAAGCTCAAGAGGGGAACCTGGATCAGGTGGAAATCTTCCCGTTCTGCAAAAAAATTTTATCCATCGAATATAGTTTAATTGACGAATTTTGAAAATTAATACGATGATTAATTGACCACACAACGTGGAAGAAGAAAACTATATGAAATTCATAAATCATAATTTTATATGATATTATACAGTTATATTAAATATAATTGTATATTAAATATAACTGTTAAATAAGGTAAAAAATATAAGTATATTTACAAAATATCTTGTGTGTATTTGTAACAAGCTTCGGCTCTGACGATCTCTTTAATCTGACATGTCAAGATCTAGCAACAACACTGTTGCATGGGAAATGTCATAATAATTACCATTAACGTCATCGTCAATACTATCAGTATCATTGTTATGTCTACGGAAATGTATATGCACATACTGACGTTGCCATGACGAAGAATCGCGACCTACCATTATTAACATTGTTCATTAATGTCGTGAACTTTCCACAATGATAACAAAGATGTTACGAGATTCTCGACTAGGAATAACGAATGGTGTCACGCCTTCGTTGGCAATTAGCGGAATCGCGCGTACAGCCACGCTGTTGACGCACACATTCATCTCTACAGGCGGAATGTTCCTATGCTATAATTACCTTTATCGACAGATTCATTTTATCTGTAACAATATAGTTCGGATTTTTACGAAGAACATGAATCAACTATGTACATTTCTACGATATGAAGACTGGAAAAGCATTCACGTGCAAATGAGGATATTTTTCGCATATTTACAATTTCAATATAAAAATTGAACATTTTTATTTTATTATTATATTGAAAACTGCATATACTGTTAAAAAGTAATATTAATTTTAATAAATATTAAATTAAAATATACCTACTAGTTTTTGATTGTGGAAAATATTTTGACAAGACAAATTATTTATTACATATAAATTATAAAGATATATAATATAAATAGGAAAAAATTTGAAGATATTTATTCAACTACTTATCTAAATTCTTCACATTTTTTTCGAAATTGAAATTGTTGAAAAAAATAATTTCATATAAGTTATGTCTCTGCTAATTAGCCGATTGAATTTAATAGTTTAACAAAAAAATTTAATGTTAATGAAATAGCGCGGGAAAATGGTCGAAGCATGGCTGACACTCTCATGTGCTAAGAGCTCATTGTCTTTCGGTCATTGCTAGCGTGCGGACCACGTGGTGACTACGAACGAGAGAGCGGAACGCAAGGCTTTGCGATTGACTGACAAGTATTCGTATTTCTGCGGAATTTTGCGAATATTTGTATTGTTTATTTTATTTAGTTTTGTCTTTTGCATTACCTAATTACTTTTTCTCAACGATAATAAAACTTTTTGCAAAAGTACAAGGATAGTTTTGTTTATTTTAATATTGTTAGGTATCTTTGTATAATTATCTTTGAATAAAAAAATACGTCCGTATTTGATTTATAGGGTACAAAAATAAAATGTATATTTTTTAAATAAAATTTAAAAACAGAAATTCCATGTTAAGAATTCTTACTCTTACGTACATTAAATAAAATAGAGCAAAGCAAGCAAAAATATAAAGATGAAAAAGAATGATAATTTATAATATAAAATTAAAAATATGGTTATTAAAATTAATTAAAATTTAACTCTAGCAAAATTGTCATCTCTTCACCGATATTAAATCAAAACCAATTTTTGCAAATATTAATTACAAAGTACACTAAATCTCAGTATCCGTTCGTGATGCTTAAGGTCATCTTCAGAAAGGCTCGAGAGATAAAACTACAATGCGGCAGATCGACAGTGAGTCGACGTCGCCTACTACGCACATATAGTGGGGACAGAAAGAGTGGATACCAAGGTGGTCGCGGGGAGTTATGAATGAGTTGGTCGCGAGTCCTGAACCACAGATCTTAATGGTGGGGGGTAAAAGCCGCGCAACGTGCAGGAGAAGGGATGACGGAAGAGGTGGCGCGGGTGATCAAGGGAGGGCGGGAATGGTGGGAGGATTGGCCGAAAGCGGGGTGTGGGCCACGTGCTACGGTGACTTTACAATCGTATATAGGCACTGGTCGGCGGAGTGGCCAGTACCATACACTGACAGTCATACACCGGGGGCGCACGAGGTGATAGAAAGAGTGAAAGAACTGAGTTCGAACAGGAAGGAAGAGGGAGAAAAGAAGAAAGAGAAAAAGAAGGAGGGAAAGGAATAAAAGAAAATACAATAGATAAAGACTGCGAGAAGCGATCTACGTACGTCTAAGGCAAACGGATAGACTATCACTACCGTCTCCCCTTAGACAAGTTCACTCATATTATAACCAACAATTTGTTTCGCCCGCCTTCTTGTCCTGCCTATTCGTTGGATTGACCGTGTCCTATCTTACTTCGTATCTTGGATATGACAAATCAGTTAGTGACCAGCATCTTTTGAAAGCAAACTTACCTTTCCAATTAGAAAGTGAAATACAGCCCTGTGAAGGCGTGGAAATTGATACAGGAAGGAAACAGACGATCGAAAGCGAGGAAGTAATTGTGAAGGACAATCAAAAAAGAATCTTAAAAAAATAGAAGAAAACGTATAAGGACTACCCTTAACAATATATCCCTTTGATTCTTTTTCTTCTTCTTAAGTATCCCCGCCACCTTATCAAGCACCTACCCCCCTCCCCTCTTTCTCTCTCAGGATCCCATAACCCCTCTGCCCCCTCATATAAGAATCAGTGCATCGCGTGTGCTGGGACCAGTGCCAAACGGATTGTGAATCTGTGCAGACTGTTTTTCGATTGTGACAACCCTTCAGGTGATCAGAATCGGTGGCGTATCGTGCGACTGAACGTTGGAGCACACGCGCACCGTCCGCGGTATCCATGTCTATATACATATGTAGATGTATATAACGCACGTGTATCTATTACTTACATACATACGTACCGATCGCTGACGCGAGGAGACTCGCGAAGGATATACCGGCATTACTCTTGCCTTGAGGCTGTGCGTTCGCGAGTGTTCGCGTGATAGATAGTGTTATGCGATCACGATGATTGTGAAGAACGCGATAGAAAATCAATTGATGCCAATGGAGATCATACTCACCCGCGATCAGAGGACTACGTCCCACCGGGTCCATGACCAGACGAGTCCTGTTATGCAAGTCAACGCGCTGATATCAAAGTCGGCGGTCTCATCGTTGGAACAAACCAAATATCAGGACATCGTCGCGAGACGTCATTGCACTAAAGCGATAACCGCGAAAACGCTTAAACGAGAGAAAAAGAGTGATTCGCACCTCATGCCAACATTTTATCACGACCGAAGAACACAACATTCTAATGCATCCTTCAGCGTACTCAGATTTCTAAGTAAGTCAAAGTTACCATCACATATATACACAATTATAGATGATACAGCAAGCACTAGATGCTAGCAATGGTAATTGTAAATGTACGAATGAACGTCAATATTGTAAATATTAAAAAATCGTTTATTACAATTACATAGAAAATAAATTAATTAAGATTTTTAACCCGGAAATTATCAATTATATAATTGCGGATTATGTATAGTAAATTACTTCTTTTTTATAATTAAAAACATTAAAAAATGTAATATAAAATGAGTTGTAGCAGGTGCAACGTTGACTGTCACACGAAAGAAATATCTTTATTGTATTCTGATACAGAGTATGCTACGTCGATTGATTCGAGATTGTGAATACAGCAAAACGCATTACGTAATTTTAATAATATTTCGGTTGTTGCATTGTACTGTTCTATCTTTGCAGCGTGGTCGTTGTCAATATAAAAGTTGCATCCTCTTTCCGGTTGCAAGGCTTTCTCCGAATTGATTTAGAAATCATATCAGGATTTGCTTCATTTGCATCAAGCCAGTTGTTTATATCCCTTACTCCTAATTATTATCTTTCGTAACATCGACAAGGAAATATATAGATTGGCTTCGCGAGTATTATCTACCGAATATATATTGTACCTCTAGGATTCAGCCAAATTTTCTATGAATTTCCGTACGTTAGTCATAATTCGAAATGAGAAATACCGATTCGTATGTAAAAGTAGAACTCGAGTCCTATTACTAATATCGATAAACTTGAGTATGACTCGTAAATTTGCACTCGAAGCGGATCATGACCTGATGGTAAAACCCGCGTGTGTCTCGGAACCTTCATTGAACGATGCTCGTCTCGCTGATAAGTACCATTAGAATACACGAGTTTAAGTATACTTATCGATCTATAAGTATAAGTGGTTTTATTTTCTTCAAGTGTCAATGAAAATTTCGAATTTTTTATATTAATTCATGAAAAAATTATAAGTTTCTTATATAACATTATGCAATTCTTTGCGTTTTTACAATACAAATATTATTCACTATTTTTTTATAATATTAAAATCTATTGCATAACCTGTTATAAATAATACTTCTGACTTGTAAATATCACTGTACAAAAAATATATCGCAAAAATTAAATTAAATTATTTTTTAAAAATTAATTTTAAATAAAATGTTTTAAAATGAATTTTTTTTTAGAAATATATAATAACAAAGTATTTTCTTTTGACGCGTTGATAAGGTAAAAGATGTAATAAGCGTGACGTTACACTTTTTTTTTATTTAGTTCACTGTCGCTCATGTCATTCTCTTTTGCGACTTTGACGTCATTTTCGAGCATGCCGATGAAGTATTAGTCATCCGCCTTGTAACGGTCCTCCTTATCGATTCTTCATTTACAAGTTTGCGAATCTTAAGTCTATACGCATTTTCGTTTACTGTCTTATCAGCTTTTCTTCCAAATTCTCAGTAAAATCGAGAAGAGTGTATAATAGAAGATCTGGATTTCCCGGAATGAATTCAAAACATGGCACGTGCCAGGACGTGCGGTATATTTGCCTCCGTCCGCCCACCTGTTGAACAGCGAGGGTCCTACAGGTGGCTTAAATCCTTAGGTTCTACGAACTGTGAAAAGATAAACCTATAGGTTCGTCCTTCAGGAATCTCGACTAGATGCCATATATGTATTTTTGTATTTTTAAATGACGTAATATACGGCGTTTCGTCGCTTTTATTCTTAAATAAAACGAAACTTCTCAGAACAAATCGGTACATTGATATAACTTCATATTTACGATAGTGGGAACTTAATGTATTCGCTATATTCTTTTACGACGATGAGGAATTGTGTGTATGTGACAGAATAATATATAATTTATAATAAATTGTCGAACATATATGCGCGCCACGGGTTGCGACCTACCGCAACGTGCTTCGGTCCGTAGACACGAACGGAAGAAAAGGGAGTAGCGGGTCGGGCGTAATGGGGTATAATTGTCGCAAGCAATGCGAGGACAGTGCGTCATTACCGCATTTTTCACTATCTTTCTTGTTGGCCGACAGCAGAGATGCGCTTTGCACCGGTGTTCACCGGCTTTGCGCGCCATACTTTTTTCAACGCGGCCGCGGGTTCTTAGGAATTTCGATGGAACGCCGTCGTTGAGAGTCGTCGTTGAGGTAGGCCCTCGCAGTATCGACGATATGTTGACGGCACTGGGGAAAGTATAAAGAAAGGTAAAATGGCATCAAAGCCCATCATCTGCCGAATATTTCACAGAGATGAACTTTTCTTACTGATAGTAGTAATTGTGGCAAAGAGGATATTCACTTGATATATTTAATTCGTTTTCTGTTTAGAGAACTGTGTAGATTAAGGGAATATTGGTTACATAATAGATTGACTAATACATAAAAAAAATAATGTTTGCCAGAAATAATTTGAAAACAATAGTTTTCCGCCATACGGCATATCGACAATTTTGCATTTCTACGAAAAAATTAAAATCCTGACGCGTAGTTCCTGGATTAGGTAAATGCGAGAGTAAGCTTTGAGCGGCAAGATCGCAGCCGGCTTTTAAATTTCTTTCTGCTCGAGAATAAGAACTCGTTTGAAAGTATACCTGTATCATCGTATCCCTTTCTCCGTTGACAAATTTGACCGATCGTGGAACTCTAATCGCATAGCAATTAAATGCCTAAGAGAAAAAAAGAAGACGGATAATTAAAGAAATAAGAGAAAGTAAATGATGTCTTCAAACGACAAGTAAGGAGATACGTTCGTAAATAGCCGAGATTATTTACGTGGATTACTGCGAGCTTTACGGAGCGATAAAAATACTTGCAATCGAACGACTGTTTCTCGAGATACAGTCTTTTTCGTATATGGGCGAAAAATACATTGCAAGTACACGTGTCTCTCCTAACATCATTAGCGAACATTAATTGGACGCTTTCCGCCAGGATTGTCGCCCTTCGAAATTTCTTCTTCGTTTCTTTTCACGTTGAAAATAAAGTGTAAAAATATGCTTTTATTGATATGGTATATTACGAAACTTAGTTACGAAAAAAAGGGAATCGATATAACATGTTTTTATAATAAACGTCATTGCAACAATAATATCATATACACGAAAAAATTCACGTGATTTTGTTTCCCGTTTATTTCTTACTCCATGTACTTATCGTACACGGAAAGGACGGTTCTATCGAAATATCTAAAAATTTAACTGCAGATATACAGATCTAAAAATAGTTTTGTTGGATCATTAAAATAATTATGTAAAACACTTAAGCGTTGATAACGATTCTGCAAAAGTAACATTCTAGCAATCAGTTTTGATTTGAAAATTATTTGTATCTAACTAAGTTTTTCGATATTTCAGCAAAACCATATAGATGGTTGTGTGACTTATCTACATTAAAATGTAAATTCCAACACATATTGAACGCTGATCACGTCTTTGCGATTGATTCTGTAAACTAGTAACGCATCGTATAAGCATATTCACGTTAAAAATTACGGCACCGTTGACCGACACGATTTTGCGTTGTCACTTTGGGGCGCAAACTTCCCTACGGCAAATTGCTCTCTCATCGCAACGCAGAACGCACTTAAGAGCCGCTCATTAATATGCGTTAAGTGTTCGAGGCGTCTCCCTATGCCCCGTCCCACTCCTCGTTTTCTCTACATCTCGCTCTTTTTCCGTCTGCATTTCTGTCTCCCTTCGTTTGTACGGCGCGTCCGTCGGCTGCATCATGCGTTCATGCACATTAAAATTAAATTCGTTAGCGCCTGTGGATGGTACGACACACCTCCGGTTTTCGGTCGCACGCCTGTTCCTCCCGATGAACTAACAATATAAATCAAAGAGCTGAAGTTATGTGAAACTTTAACTCTTCGATATTCTAAGACAGAATCGTTACTGATTGCAAAACACTACTGATAATTGACCTTATAAATGTTCAAAACACGATAAATATTATCAAATAATAATGATAAAGTCAATCAATAAAAGAAAACAATTTTTTATTTCGTAATTTTCTTATTAATAGATAACAGTTGATTTCAGAGAAGAGAAAGAAGTTCCGAAATAATGTATGCATAAGCAATTGATAAAATTTACAATATTGAATGTAGAATGCTGTATATCTTATGAAATCCGACTTAACTTCAAATTTAAATCAACATTGTACTTAGTAGTGTCCATTTGATGTATACATCGCTCGGTTTTTGAAACCTTCAAAATAATAATGAAGGAAGAAAGGGGAGGGGGAACATATGGATTAAACGGACAACACGTATGCGGTGGCCTCCCGTCGTTATACATCCTTCAAATGTGTACGCAACTGTCGATGGTTTGTCGTCGTACCGCTGCACGTGATCCGAGGCCCCTCATCAAGGGTCGTAACTCGCGTAATAATGCGACGACGAATTCGCGGGGACGTAATTCGACGTGCGGTGATCTTGAAACTGCCGGATGATCATAAGACGGTCCCGATCGGAATCTACCATTTAGGCGCTTACTATCGACGAGTGAGTCCCCGAGGGTGGAAACAGAGGGCCAATGAGCCGGAAGCTCAATGATAATTTCACGCAGGCATCTCGCGGCTCTCACGTCAAATCGTGATTACCACCAGATCATTGAGCAATATCTTCGATTTTTCCTTTTTTAAGATTCTGACAATTCCGTTAATGATGCCCCTACACAAGTTAATCTTCATTGCGGAAAGGGTCCAATTCCGTAGCACTTGCTCGCTGCTACGGATCTTCGATGGAGCCATATTAATGTAACTGTTTCCGCAATCTTTATAGAACTTACTTATATATATAATACAATGTACTGAATGGCGAGACTAATGTCATTAGAAAATAAAAACTATTAAAAAATAAAAAGGGAAAATATGTGAATCGTTCTGATTATTCGATGAAAACACTTACTATGCCATCATCTAAAAATAAGAAACTGAAGTATTTTAATATTTAATTAGCTACTTATTGGAGTGGCACTTTAATAGTATAGAATAAAAACGAATTTCATACTGTGATCGATAATTTAATTGTAATGTATATAATATGGATCATTAAAGCAAGAAATCTAAAGTGACTATTTTTGTTTCTAGGGTTAGGCTGTGCGTTGGTGATTATACTAGCGACGCTATCAGTGCGAAGTGCTCCAATAATGAATTCCCCGAAGAAAACGGATGATATGAAATGGGTGAATCCTTGTGGCGTCTCTACCAAATTACGAACAAACGGCTCCAATCCGGACATTGCTCAGTTGGAGGACCATGATCTCCTCAACCAAATAGTACTCCAAGCGAGAACGGCATTAAAGCATGCACAACTATTTAGAGATGAATTTGTAAGTAATAGAATACATATGTTTCTCTCTTTGTCATACATTGTCGTCTTCTTCGAGAGTTTTGGCTGCGTCTTTTTTCCGTGCGTATTACATTGCAATTCACGTTGATACAAAAAATTGATACGATATTTTATTGAAAAATTATGATTATCGATTCTTTAATAATTACTTATATATGACCTCTTGGAGGAGATCGGGTAGAGTGAGGGAACTTCAAGCGGAAGGAGGTTATGGTAGTATTTCCGGTCATCCAAACGTTCGATCGCACTTCCATGAGTTACGATCATAGATCTTTGAAGAAGATTCCAATCTTATAAATCGTTTCGCGTCTTTATATTAATTGTAAACGTCTCATTAAGAATTTTATTTTTGCTTATTGTAAAAGTGTAATATGTATAATAATGAACATTATAGTTTGCTTTAAATTTGCAAAATGAAGATGTGACTTTGATTTCAGTACATCAGTTCCCTTTTCAAATTATAATAAATTTGTATCAAATTTTCTAAATTTACATATTAAATTGAAAAGTTTTTATTTATATTATATTTTACTTAACAGTTGGATAATTATTTATTTTTTATTCTAAATTATCTATTCAACTATTATGCATCTTAAAGTTGCGACTGTGTCTTGAATTCTGGAAATAGATAATCGATTTTATAAGGCAGATAGATACATACGAGAGCGAGAAATTTTTGTTTCGAAAGAATCTTCTCAACCAATCGTACCTTATTATCTCTGACCAAGGACAATAAATCACGCACCAGACCCGAGCGGTTTCTCAAGGTTTCTCTTTAGGAGCAATCCAAAAAAGAGATCGACTCGAAAACCGCAGAAACAGAGATGATGTTTTGCATTCTAAATTTCATTTGTTTTTCAAGAAAGATTGTCTGATATTTTTATGCGTAATCCGCTTAAAACACTTGTTGACTTTATTCTTTTCAATTACATTCAATTAAAAAAATTCAGATTTTTCAAAAGATGTAAACTTCTAATATAAAAAGATTTAGACTTCTAAAATACCAGACATGAGAAAGCGTCAGTGATTAATTCCTAAACGAATGCGTTTCGCCAAATAATGGTATCCAGAAATAAACATTCACGATTGATCGCTCTCTGAACAACATCAGTTAAGATCAGACAAAGACCGTTCTCCACTCTCGCAAACGGTGTTTACCTAGGCGAAGCGAGTATATGACCGAGTAAATTAGCATTCGTCGCGTGCATCGAGAAAGGGTATTTCTGCCTCTTCGCATTATAGGGTCCGTTTAGCCCTAGGGCTCCGGCTGAAGGCGGTTAAAAAGCGTTCCCGTTACATCATCGCGCAGCGATACCGGATACCGATGTTTTTTAAGTCAGCGCATAATCCGATATCATACCGGCCGTAGCTCGCTTCTACCCTTGACAAGAAAGACAATAAATTGCGCACGTGTAAATACCTCGGCACTTGCGACATATAAAAGATGGCATGGAAAAGGAGTGAAGTCATAGTTGAACATGATGACAGAGAAGAATCAAGTTTCTTTCCTCGCCGTTCGGCTCTGTGCTCGCGGCGAGGCTATGAGCTCCAGGGGCGCCTTCCTCCACTGATATCAACTTGCGGCGACACACTGTCTGATGGTCCAGTGTCTTCACCGTCCGACACTCGTTATCGGTTCAACGTAGGCCGTCTACCGGCAGGGAGAGAAAGGAGTAGATTAGCCAAGGATACTGAGAACGGCGGAAGTCTCACGGCCATGTATCTTTTGTGTGCGTGGCGCGAACGCGAAGGAAATTCGCGGCGAACTTCGCGATCTTTTGCAACTGACAAAACTATTCTTCCAAGAAGTTTCCGGGATAATTGAAAATCTTTAGAGTACAATCGTCAACTTGATCTATCTGTTGCAGCTTTCTAATGTTCGTCCATTCTTTAAATTTTTATTGTTTTTTTTTATGACGTACAGCGATTCATCATCTTTATACCGTCTGAATAATTTATAAATCGAATTTATTCGTCTGCAATTCGCAATTCACAAATAGCGATAGATAGTCTATGTTTTCGCGCGTGTGCAGACGCCAGTACGTGAAGGAATCGGATAAAATATCGGAAGCGAAGGATTCCAATAAATCAGAATCGGAAGCTGCCCCCTCTCCACCGCGGATGGGTACCTGTACGCCACACTGGCACACCGCCTGCATACTAAAGCCCAGACCGGATATACAACCTGCCAGTGCATGTACTCGCCTCGATACATACGACACATATCTCCTATCATGGTATACTGCTGTATTCTAATGTCCACTCTCGTCGTTCCTTTGCGCAATGATATATTTTTCGAACGCGATCGTGATTGTTCAATATATCTTATGAAGTCTACTTATAAAAATGGATCGCATGAACGCGTTATCATAAAAGATCAGAATTAACTTAACATAATGTTTCTATATCAGCAGAAATTTAAGAAACTGCTCAATCAATATAGTGCTTGCAATTAGAATTTATCAACAACGTTAGAAATTATCGACTCAAGAGATTTATTTATAGGGTGTGTCGATCGCGAACTATTCGATCGATTCTCAAAGCTATCATACAAAAATTTTATAACTTCTAATAAGCGGTGCAGTAGTGATGCCGCGCTAGAAGAAAGATTGAAAAGCTAATTGATTTTGACGGGTCCTCGGCAGCGCCGCGCGGAGACCATACCTATTCTTGCCAGCCTACTTCCTGCCAGCTTCCAGCCCGGTTTTACGATTATTCGTGCTCCAGTGTGGCCGAGGAGACTTTTACGAGGCACAAAAGACCCGCGCCACAGATTTGTCCGCCGCCAGTGGTTGTTAGCAACAATTCCTTTCATTCTACCCTTTTTGTTTCGCTTTACCACCTTTCCCATGTTCGTTCCTTACTCTTGCAATCTCTCTTCGTATTTATATATCTCGCGGCGAAAATGTATGGAGAATATTCAAGCAGTTCAAAGATCACGGCGATCATTTTGGAACTTCGTGATTTCCAGCATCATTTTCCATATCGCATTAAAACAAAGATTGCTGAAGTATCGATTCCTAAGCGGATTGAGAGCCATCACATGAATGTAACCAACACATCATAAAACGCAACGATAAAAACGAGTTCTTTTCGGCACCTGAAAGGAGGAAAGACGGACGCAGGTTCAACTCTATTCGTAGGTAGACGCGTAGGTCTCGCTAATGTATTTATTAGAGGACTGCTTACATAAAATTACCGTAAAATTCCATTTAATTACCCATCAGATTCCTCATTACGTATACCTACACACCTAGGAAACTTTGTGGTAGATATCGTTATTATTAGCAATAATAGTCGATGACGCAATTGATGGCCGATCACCGTGAGTATTTAATATTTTTCGATACAAAGTACGGGTTTAAAAGTTATCTTTGTATCCTCTTGGACGCTTTCGTAACGATCGGGGCGTGAGAAGGGCCGATCACTGATCGGCGCTCGAGTGCCCACAGGTACACGAGATCGAACATGCCATAACGAGGGAATGAATTTAATGAATGACTACCGCGATGCCGCCTTTCTATGGGCTACCCTAGCTAGCCACGAATTTCCGCCGCTGTCGTGCCTTTAAAATCCATTTGTCGTCATGTATGCTTACTTTCCACTTGGCCATGCCGATATTTTCGTTCATTAGCTTGCACGCAAATTCATTCTTATTTTTTCACGGCGTCATATATGCATTAGAGAGAAATCTTCGAGGATATATGATTTATCAAGCTATACAATATGTGGTTCTTAGCAGCGTGGTTCTCAGGAATGTTGTTTGCGATCAAAGGTATTATCTCATTCGCAGGTCATACGAGAGTAGTAAGAGTGTCGTACGATGATACACTTTCATTCCTACTTGAGATAATAGTGCGTACAATGCATTATCTACACTGGAATTCAAGATATGAGATCAATGAGACCAAATCATCTTTCCGCACATAGGATAACATGTATGGAATTCTGGATAATATGTGTCAACGTAAAATGTTAACACGGAAATTCTTTTGTAAGACAGTTGTTTGAGTCTTCAAACAATATCGCAATTGTTTGTCATAATAAGAGGCCGATGACCTATACCACAGCCTCGAAGGTTTATCGGACTGAAATATTAGTGTATCGTGAAACATAAATACAAGATGCTATAAAAATCATATAATTATTATGCAATATATGATAAATCCTAATTTTACAGAGTAACAGTAGGGTAATGGTTTGTCAGTTCCTTAGAATCTGATGTCAAGTGCAATGGAACAATTGACATCAAATTATGATACGAAAAGTAACTTCCAATATGTTATGCAAGCTCATGTAGCACGTTTCCCTCGCTCTCTATTTCTCGCACTTTCCGGCTCAACGGATGATTCATAATGACTCGTCCGATGTAAGCGATCCCTGATGGGACAATTAGTGTGTCTCGGCTGGCGCCCGAGTTTCCAAGTAATTTCTGGGTAAAGGACTAAGCTGGCTTTTGTTAGCTGACCCATCTCGGTATTCCCGAAAAGTCAGCGTGCCATGGCCACTTGTGGCACGCGCTCTCCCGCATAGAGAGCCGGCACGAACTGTCATGCGTTACTCACGCGGCAGTTCGCACGGCCGACTGCGTTTTCATCGTACCAGGAACGAGGGATATCGGGAGACTGATCGTATACGAGGTGTTGCACGGCGTATAATCGGTGACTAAACTCGCTGACATCCAGTGGCGTCGCTTCGCTGCACTATTGCGAAAAATTAACGCGAGCGAGTCGGTACTTACGCTGGCAATAGTGGCATAATTGGCGGATACCTGGAAATACAATAAGAGCAACGCGGTGCACTAGTCTGTGATTCTTTCGCGAAGTGACAATATAAAGTGACAGTGAGATACACTGCTGTCAAGATATAGAAGCGCCAAACGGCTGTGTATGCATTGCGCTCTTGCTAAATTGTACTAATATTTTTTAAAAAACATTTTTCAACAAAAAGTGTATACAATATCGTATCAAAAAAACATGGTTACAAAAAATATTATTAATTAAAAAATTCGCTATTTATTATTTAATAAGCATGATTATATCCTTTAATAAAATGATAGCGACATGCTTTTGCACATGCATGTCACGTATCGTTTTATATATACTTTAATCTATTCCCGTACGCAACGAATATGAGAGATATGCAGAACGATGTAGCAATAACGCGACACCCACGCGGAATAATTTTTCTCAAATTTCCGCGAGATTGCACGCGCTAAGAAGACGACGATGAAGAAACTTGATAGTCCCGCGTATCTTTCTTCGATGTTGCGGCTCCTTTTTTGAAAGAAACGATGTATCTAATCGTACTCATGTTTTTCTTCTATGATTTTACAGATCAGACAAACTTTCAAGACGGACTTCGCCAGCGTCCACAATTTGTGGAGGAAATATCACTACGCTTGGCTGCCTACACGATCTGAAATACCCAAAGAACTGGGAGAGGAACTGGATAAGGAGCATCTTAACAAATTAGATGTACGTTATCAATTAGTTTATGTCGTTTTATCTGTCTGCGTAGTTACTGTTTACAATCTATTACAATACAATAATTTATTGGAAATATATATATGTACGTGAGTCAATAAGTATCTTAATTTTTGCAACCTTGATTGTTAAAGGTAAAATTAAAGTTACTTACTGACTAACCTGTTGTACATACACACATTTTTAACTTATGCCTTTTCTCTTTAAAATACGTATAGTATATATTTTTTCACGACACGTACATGTGCATGAATAATTACACATACCTATAAATGGATGATTAACAGTACGTTCGGATTTATATATTTTCAGATTAATACGTCTCTCGTCGATGCGTATGAATATATGCAGAAATATGCGGTGGGCTTAGAGCAGGTAGTTTTGGATCAAAAGGATTATCAGCCTAAGTATCATCAGAAATTCACAGAAGCCGAGTGGAAACTTCGAGCGGTAAGTTCAGTTTCGAGATTATCTTAAATCCGTTACCTTCCTAAATAATTATGTTGAGCCATGAGTATTCGATTCGTAACTCTTTCTTGGCGTGCGGTATAAAAAAAAGAACTGCTGTGCGCGACTTTCACAATAACATCGGCACAATTGGCCTGAATTATTCTGCCTTCTGTTGCTGCAAGTACGATAAAAGACGTTTCGCCAAGTTTTACGATCATTTTATGTAAAGGTTGAGACGTTAAAGATCGTCGCTAACTACCATTTTATTGACCATTCCAGCGAATAGCTTTGGACGCGCTTAAGTTCCTATTAGAGTTTTTTGCGTTTTTTAGTTTTTTTTTATGTGCGTCGATTTCGAAAACACAGATTTTGAAAGATTGCAGAAATCAGTCATCGTCTATTGAAAATTAACAACGTTTATCTCGATACTTTTGTGACAATTAATTTTAAATTAGTAATTTATATATAAAATTAGAATAACTTTACATAAATGTTAAAGACTGCAAAATGCTTTAATGCCGTCATTTTTTATTAAAGACTTTTATCATAATATATTTTCTAATTACAAGCATTTTTAATGTCCTGATGCTTCTCTTTTCTCAGGTTCTGTGTGAAATCCAAGTTGCTATAGAAGAACGTAGTGTAACGCGACGGCCAGACGTCACTCGAGATGTTATGACATCTGATTTCCGAACGATGACAGACATGACGTCCCGTGATCTGCGTGATTGGATGATTTTTCGCGAATACATGAATGGTCTCGAGTACGTGATACAAGTATTTTCACATCTACGCCTACGCTATAGTCACTGATGGCTCCATTTTCCTGAGGAGGTATAGGGAAGAGGATAAAAGAGATAAAAGGATTTTCCGATTATTTTCTGATTATCATTTAAAGAGCACAATTTTAACGAAATGTGTCTCTGCAACAAGGATCGGGTTATTTGTTGGTATCGACGATGAGAATATTGTCGAACCGACTAATATACCGCATCACAGTATCCACATTAAGCTTCTATGATAAACTTTGAAATAGAAGTGCTATCAATACTCCCGACACCTCAATTTACCATTTTCTTCGACACTTTTTAATGGTACTTCGTACAGAACAAGATAGAATGGAGAAAAAAAAGGAAACAAAGAAAAAAAACTGCGTCGTTATTGGTCCACTGGCTTTCGCCATTGCAGTTCACGGCCACATACATATAATCATGCATATTCACACAAATTATGATTTCGTGCGAAGATGCCCTACAAATGCGCGTGAATATTTGATTTTATACATATATGAGAAAGAAAGTAGGATTATCTCTCTTTATGTAAGTTCGATGGCTCAATCGTTTAACATTGAACGTAAAATAACTCTCGAGAAATAACTATTACATATCACGGTTATCTTACAATCTAAGAACGTGATATCCTTTATGCTCGATTTTTCTTTTTTGACACGTTATTAAAGTATATAAAGTCACAGGTAAATTTTACGAAAAATTTAAATTGATTTTTTAAGCATGTGTGATTGTTCACATCGTATTTTGCTTGTCATAGTAGTTTGAAGATATGAATACCTATAATACTTAACACTACACGTTCTATGCTCAGTGTAAAATGAAAAGTGATTAAGAGATTACTGATTAATTGAGAAAGAAGATAGTTAATAGGGAAAAATCCAATCTTGCTGTAAGTTCATAATGAAACACAATATTTTGGACCTCGCAGTAATTTAGATCTCTCGTAATTAGATGCGCGTGTACGTATTACATTATGCACACAAAACTCCCACAACACTGTTGAAAGGACTTTCTTCGCGAGCGATTCATACTCCACAATCTTATATAATAATTTATTGACTACTTATATATATGTTTACGTATAATATAATCATATTATATTATATGTAACACATTATATATAATATTAGTATATCCATATTTATTCAGATTATTTATTTTATTTTTATAAAGATTTTACACTCCGATTAATTGTATTTAAAGTATCTAGTTGAGCTTAAAAGTGCCTAGTGTATATGAAAGAAAGAAGCTATATCATAATTAAGACCTCGTACATACGTGCGATTATTTTGCTCGCATGTACGGAGTTTCATTATTACAATATTACTATCATCGTGCAAAAGGAGAAGAACGCATTCCCGCGACGAATATGTCGTGTGTCGCGCTGTTGCTACTACTTCTCTTCTTGACGTACCTTTGCAGGGTATAAGAACTCTAATCACACAGAAACTTAACGAGGCTGGTTAATTTCGCACTTTTGATCGCAATTATTTCACTCGCAAATGAGATCCTTCTAGTATTATATTTTACTCGATATTATTCTTTTAAAAAATATTCTTTTAAATAATTTTTTTATGCCAACATCGACATTTTTATTAATAACATGCGAGACTGTTGAAGACTATTGGCAACAGGGTATATCACATAAAGATTTCATCAGTCCAAATTTATTATTTTATTCCATGAATCCATCATGATGCTATTTTGATCATATATATACACATATATATATATATATGTACATCTTATGCCCTTGCAGTCTTCAAAACTAATACCAGAAGAATTTTTTTGGTACTTACAATTTATTACTGTGCGATCATTTGCAAATAAATAATGTATTAAAGTGTGTATTGTCATACTTAATTTTCATATCAGTAGCAACATGTAAATCATATGTACAAGTTCGAAATATCATCGACGCAATTTTAATGCGTAAATCATTATTTATACGCACACATACATACGTCGCATAAAATATATTTTTATTTTCTTATCATCGCGTCTGTGATATGCATCTTAGAACATCCCTCAGGCGACTAATTGTTCATTTCCGAATCGATCCACGCTTGCTTCCGTTCCGATGAAAAAAAGAGACAGAGGGAAAAAATGAAAGGAAGAAGAAATAGGAAAAGAAGAAAACAAGAAATAGCAGCTAAATGTTTATATCTCAAATTTTGATCATTATTTGTATCTTTATTTTATTATTTAAAAATATGAAAATAGTTTATAAATTTTTATGAATATTGATACATTATATCGCGTTTATATAATCAATAAGTTAATTATTTTATAAATATTCTTTTTAGAGGTTGAAAATTTCGTCGCAAAAATTATTTTACAAATTTTGATAAAAACATGTTTTTTTGAAAAAAATAAAGTAACACTGAAGATTTAAAAATTGGTATCATATTTGCTACCTAAAAATAGATTTGATAACTTTTATAGGTTTCCAACTCATCTTTCTGTCTCTTTTTATCACAATTTTGATTGTAAAAATGCATGGACACATAAATAATTAGCATGAAAAGTTATATACGGTCTAAATAAATGTTTTCATTTATCGTAAAATTAAAAGATTTCGATAGTGTAAATAAGATGTCGTATAGGACCGTAAAAATAAAATTTTAGTAATATCGCGACACAAGATAAATTAAATTTGGATTAACTAGTGCGATCGCTTCATATATTGTACACAAAAGATCTGATAATATAGTTTAATATAGTAATAAACTGCAAATTATACAATTTTATGTATGGATATATAATCTGAAAATACGGGCTTCTCTCTCCTCAGAATGCCCATTCTGTTGTAGCATATTAAACCAAAGACCGTTCGATATCTTATCGTTGTTATTTCAATAACTGCCTTTTTCCTCCTCAATACGATTTCCTTTAAAAAAAAAAAGATAAATTCAAAATTCTCACAAAAAAATGTGTATGAATCAAAATTAATGATTTGATATGTAATAAATTCTAATCCCAACAATTTTCTAGTTATGTTATCTTGCACACATATTTCATTATTTGCTTTTTAATAAGTGTATTAGCAAAGCAATTCTTCGATCATTGGCACGTGTTGCTCGAGTATCCGGCTCGAATATTTCAACCTGACCAAACGGGATTTGCCTTTTCCCATGATCAGTGTTCGATGCCGTGTCTCCGGAGCTGTTGACGTCGTCGGTGTTTGAGAGGAAACGCGTAAGTACATGATCATCGGCCCAGGTACGGCTCTGTCCCAAGCCGCCGTGTTTGCGCACGCTGTTAGCTCATTGTCATCGTTCGTCCAACTTACTTTCTCATAAGGATTTCCACTTCTCTCGTGCTGATTCTATGTTTGACAATCCCTACCCGCCTTCCCTTTGGTATCCTCATCCAGGTGGTCTCCCGAGCGCCGCCAAGGTGTCAATGTTTTGCCTGGCCATTAAGATCGTTAGCCCATCTACGCTGCGTTTGACAGCCGAAGGGCGATACGATTCTAGAATTTTACTTCAGAAGTTGGGATAATTGCTTCGTGTAGAAAAAAAAGAATTGTATTCTTCAGTCTATAATAATACTTAACTAAAATTTTTTGCTACGAGTTCTTTTTTGGGAAATGTTTTTAAACTGCGTATATAATACAGTATACTATATTGCTTTTATAAATATAAATGTATGCTAAAATGATTAATCAAAGATAATTTGTTTATAATAACATAAATTAATCAAAACGTACATTATATTTAATGCAACAATATCAATCACAAATAACACTATAATAATTGTACAATGTAATAAATAATACGCTGTAATAATTTCATTAGATGATACCGACTGTGTGTATCTATAAATATATTTGTTATATTAAACGAATAAAATATTGATAGCGGTCGATGAGTCTCCTGCAATGGAATTCGAAAAGTCTGGCGCATACATACCGTCGGAGAGAGCGTCAAAGAAGAATGGTGCGCCAGTGTCTTCGCCGGTGGCGCAGGTAGGGATCGACGATCGAATCTTATAGGGTAAGATATGAATGAGACGTGAGAAGAGGCCGAAAAGATCGGTCAACGCTATGAATGGCTGGGAAAACTGCGACGTTTTTTTATACTACGAAACATGCTTCATTTCTTCTTCGTTTCTCCTACTACTATTCTTTCATGTTTCTCAGTTGCTCCATCAACGGCGGCGATATGCCGACGGTGATCCTTTTGCACTTCGCTCCAAATGAGTCCTGAGAGTGGTCCGGAATCTAGCCCCCGCCATTGCCTCGGGCAAATACTTCGGCTCCTTTCAACTCGAAAAAAAAGAAGTATACCAGACCTCGTTGTAATTAGGATAGTGCGCCCGCATGGACAGCTACAGGGAGTCTTCGCCACTCACCTTCGCCATTCATTCTTCTTCTTCACTCGCTATGTAACTCGCCTTGTCCTTCTTCGTCCTCGCCTCGTCGCCATTCTCGAATACCCTGAAGGCGTCCTCTCGCTATATTCCTAGTGGCTCTCAAGACAACTTTCAATAATGTCGAGACAAAAGACTCCAAAAGTTGAGTAGTTCTCGCAGCTTACAACCGCGATTACCGCGGCATCGTTAGAAACAGACAATCGACTATGCCAACAAAATGTCACTTGAGTATTTCATTCATTATTATATATTATGTAAATATTTACTAGTGCTTAATATAATATTATTTCACAAAAATTATTTTATTCACAAGAAAGAATATAAAATCGATAATATGTATATAGTTTTCGCATATATTTTTACATTTGTACAATATTCCTTTTATAAAGTAATCATACTCCATACATTATTGATTGTTTTTCTTTGAGATAACAGCGAAAATGTAAGGAAATTGAATTTTGTAGTCAGAATAACCTGAGGAAAACGAGGTATATAGTCATCCTTAACTGCTGCTGATTGAGAGGCGGTACTGTGCTAATAGGTTCCATTCCCTGCTCTCTTGACATGGGTACTACGTTCTAAAACAGTCTAGATTTATTTCACAACTAATTTTGCCTTGTTAGTCGATAGACTAGTACAAAGGGT